GGTTTTAGTAGGTTTGAAAATTGGAAAAAATATGAATATGTTGTAAATAATATGGAATGTGTGGTTTCCTAACTTAACCACTTTGAGGGTCTTTTCAACCTCCCACTAGTGTAAACTTCCCACGTCTTAGTCCCATGATGTGTGTAGGAAATAACTTCCATGGAACTTCCATTTATAACTCCTCCTTGTAACTTCCGGTGGCTTACACCTATATTAATGAGAAAAACTCCCTCCCCATTGATACCCACAATTTCTATGGATTGTTGTTATTTGCATTATCTCTGTCTCTCTTTATCTTGTTATTTACATTCTTATGTATTTCCACAATCACAAACCAAAGAGCTAGATTAAATAGGCGATTTTACAACAGAATAATGTATTTTCAATAGAAATTTGATAAGAAAAAATGAGATTTTCTGTATAAAATTATCAAACAAACATGATCTCGGTTTTATGAATAGTATAAAACTGGAAACTATAATTTGAAAATAAAAACAAGGCTGCAGATATTTGCAAGACGAAAATTACTAAGTGCAAGACCTTACTTCATGCAAGACCAAAATATAAATAAATTTACTAAGATCAAGACTGGAAATTACAAATATAACCCCAATAATAATTTAGATATTATTAATTTAAATTAAGCTAATTGCTATTGCAAGACCAAAAAAAAAAATACAAAAAAAAAAGAAAAAAAAAAAGGAAAAAAGAGAGGGAACTCACTCACCCAACAAAACACCAACATCTTCTTCTTCACCCTCATATTACACATTTTTTTCCACAAAAAAATCTTCCATATTCTCCAAAACCCTTATCACATAAAACCCTCAAATCTTACTAAAACTTGAAAAGAAGGACATTATGGATACACAAGACATAAATATGGAGGATTCTAAGGTCGAAGAACACAAAGAGGTAAGAAATATTGTACTTTGTGATCGTTTTTCGCACCTCATTTCACGTACAAAATATTCGACATGTACAGGTCGAAATATCCGCTTAATATCGACACAGTAGTGTCGAAAATTTCAACATAATTCGACACTCCTTAATTGTCGAATTATATTGAAATTTTCGACATTATGGTGTCGATATTAAGCGCATATTTCGACGCTAGTGTGTCGAAAATTTGCCAAAAAATCGACAAGTACAGGTCGTTTTTTTTGTAAAACCGCAACTCCTTCAACAATAGTGCTACAATCGAACCCTAGAATCATCAACTATGTTCTAAAATGACTTGAATTCATTATTCTAACAATAAAATCATGTTTATCACATTTATTTCTCAAAAAAAAGTTAATTCAAAAAGTAATTTCCTTACTTGCTTTTCGTGAGATTGTTGTGGCGGGGTTGGGGCAACAACGGACTTCAACGGCGACGGGGAGGTGGTGGACTTCAACGGCGACGGCGACGGGGCGACTATTGAGTGCTGCAATTGATTTTTTTGTTTTCTTCTTCCCTTCTTCCCTCCTCGTTTTTTAATTCTCAATTCAATTTCTTTTTTCTTTCTTTTCTTATTAATTTTTCTTTTTTAAATTGGTCTTGCAAAAGGAAATTAATAAAATAATTTTTATTTTGTTTGTATTTTATTAAGGTTATTATAGTCTTTTTATACTGAATTTAATAAAAAAAATTAATTTGGTCTTGCCTTAAGTAATTTTCGTCTTGCAAATAGTCGCTGCCTAAAAACAAACATCCCCATTATTTTTAAGAAGTTTCATTTCACTCGTATACAACTTTCCGGTACTGCTTTTTGGGTGGGTGGGTCCGTTACTCAGTAAGCCAGATTATAACCCGACTTTAAAACTAAATTAGTACCGTACGGAAACAGCCGATTTTCTACCAGTAATTTTTGGGTGTGTGTCATTGGAGACCGACCTCAAAGAGGGAAGAATTCCTCACAACATGAACAATATCCTTATCACCCTTATTCCTAAACAAGAGAAGCCTGCCACACTTGCCCGAGTGAAAAACTAAATTGATGAACAAATGAATGCACAGAGCACAAACAGAAGCAAACCACTGAAGAATCATCTTTTTACTTCCCTACTTTACTGCAAACTAATTGCAGTTGATTTAGTCCATCTCTGAACTTGCAAAATATCACATCATACTTTTAAACAAGTACTGAAAAGTTAACTACTGTCATCTGCTTAATATCGCGGCAACAACGCCTTTTACCACCAATCCAAGTCTAAACAAAAACCAGAGAATTTTAACAGTGAGACAATCCGCTTTATTATCGTTACAATTCACCAACTCCTCTACGACCTGAACCTGAAAATAAGGTAAGGCCCATAACCACCGGCTACAAAACAAAACAACAGCCCCGGTACAGGTTCTATGTATTTACCTTGAAGAGCCTGAGGTCAATCATTCAATCATCTGACACATGAGTTTTATCTTCATAATACCTTCTCTCGCCCTCAGCCTTCCTCTCATTTCGTTTCTGCAAAAAGAAAACCACTTTACGATTTTTCTTTTCCAATAAATTTGAATGCATAAGTGAAGATAACAAAAATTCGTAAGCCTTTTAACTCACAAGACAATAACAAAAGTGAAACCTGGTAAGCCTCGTGATTTGATAAAATCCTCCTGATTATCGTGCTAGTTGTAATGTCCAGAGGACTTTCCAATAGCTTAAAGATACCTAGGCTAATTGGAATAGCATATGGATTCTGCTTGTCCTACAAAATTAACAAATGCACGTAAATATGTGGTAACTTCCACTTGTCCTGCAAAATCAGTAACCATTTGGCAACTAATAGATACATGCCAGAGATTATTTAAATATATACCTTCTGAAAGTCATTATCCTCAGCTACAGTTCCTTGCACAACCAATGAGATATTGAAGGTTGTTATCTACAGCAATGGGAATAACAAATGAGATAGAAACCAAACCTTGATCTTTAACCCAAAAATGTAAATACTATTAAAGCATTTGTGTTTGTTTGTGACAGCATAATCCATGACAGGAAAATAATGCATTAGTCGAACTCAACCTTGTTAATAAATAGTCATCAAAGAGATAAACAAGATCAACATCATTTACTTTGTTATTTCTTAAGCATTCATGGCAATCGAAAGAAGCACACAGACAAATAATGTTAAGGACGCAACTGAAAAGTAAAACACCATATTACATATTGCAACAGGTGGGTGGCACCCCGAACCCTAGTTGTATTTTCTAACGTATGAAGTGGCAATCAATATTTTTTTTTTTGACACAAGTAGCAATTAATTTCAATGTGCTTAGTTCGCGTATTTTTAACACGGGATTAGACACAATATGAAAAGCTGGTATTGAATTTTTAAGACATACTTCATTCAACAGGTGAGATATATGTCTTCTCCAACATTTCATCATTGGGTAGCTTTCGACCATAGAAACTACAGACTCAAACCTAACACACAAATGGAATCTGGTCACTAACTTTCGAGCAAATGTTGGAAACCCTAATCTATTGTCCCAGTAGATTCAAACATGAATATTTTTATTTTGTAATGGCTCAGGTACCATGTTAGGAGAAATACAAAGGAATTTCATTTTTCATGCATTGAGTGGAAACAACACACCAACGTATACAAATCACCATAAGCTAAATAAGAAATATATTCCAATTAGCATCCCTAAAAATAAACTAATAAATCCTAGCTATTTACAGTGATGCATTATTTTCCAATAATAACTTGTAACATTGTTTACTCCTAGAAGGCTTTCAATAGGACAATGCTTCGAGTCTAGTTAAAAAAACCATAAGGGGACTATTTGCTCGGAATTAATCAGATATCTTTCAAAATAAAAGGGGTAATAACTTCTTTTTACTAAAAGAAGTAACTAGCAACCAGAAGGTTAATCACGTCTGAGCATTAGTAATTTGTGCCAATTAGCTGTTTGGATCCATATTATATGTTTTATCCCGATAGCTATCATTTTTATCTGTACTAACCTTAAATCATCATTAAACATGGTGGAAGAGTGGTAGGAGCAAATAAATTCATGTAGAATACTAACTAGCAACATAATGTCAACTCATACTCACCATATCTTTTGACACTTCCCTCGGAGCACCAATTATTACCTCATCTGCATATTGGCAAGCCAAAACACTCAAGCTTCTTTCGTGTAGATTCATAATCGGACGGTGAGCTCCTCTATTAGCACTGCAATAGACATCACACTGGAAAATATCAAACCTCTGTCATAAAACTTTGCATCTACGATACAATCCTTCTTATTGCTTGAGTTCATAATTACCGTAATCATACAACAAAAGCAGGAATATAGTTAAGAGAAACATAGGCCGAGAGAGCAATGAGATCACTCAGAAATGACTTTAGCAGCATTATTGAAATTCTTATGAAGTTAATAAAATATACACCTCAAACCACATATTTCACTAGAGAAACAATATAAAAGTTACACCTCATTGCATCGAATGTTATTTTTTAACAAATATCAGGTCAGCATCCTTCATTGAGATTGACTAAATTCTCCCCCAATAAAATAATTTAAACAAATAACTAAATACTCAAAGCACTCTGCCAGCAAATACGGTGTCGTCGGAATGTCTATAGCTAACAAAGGTTGGTACTAGATAAACTTTAATAAAATGGAGTTCCATCAACCTATCACAATTGCTATCTATTGTAATCAAATTCATCCCCGTCGATTTTGTAATAATCTGTACCAGCAAGCAAAAATACTGACTTCAACATCCAAACACCACCTTACTGGTATTCTCAGTTTCATCTTGCTGTAGTAAGGAATAGCTCATAACTTTATTATGACAGCTCCAAATCACAACTTCCATGTTTTAGGCTGGAGAATCTACACTTAGTATCCTAGCAAGGGGTTGCTATGAGAGTACATATGTGTAGCTGAAATGTTTGTTCTGACGACAATATGTTCGCAAAATATTGCTAGCCAATATTATTCCATCACACCAGTTTGTATAAATGAGTAGCAGTTTACAGGTCACAGATCACAGATCAACAGGGAAATGGGGAAAAAATCATCTTTCTTAAGGTTATATGCTAACGTCATAAGGGCTTAGCTAGGGATAGTATTAATTGTCTAGATTTCTGTTTGTTCTGTGAACTTCCACAATGGAATGATCCAGTTAAATTCTAAAACATAATCAATTAGATTGAAAGATAAAAGTGAATGGTGAAACAAAGATCACACCTGACAGTTTGATCAGTATGGATGCCAACAAGAAGAAAATCACCAAGACCTCGGGCAAGTCTGAGTATCTGCATAACCGAATAAATAATAACCTGAGCACGTAATGTAAACAAAAAGAAAATTTGGCAATGAAGTATACTTTTATGAGAATTCATATTCATAAATGCTGCTGTGGTATTGGACAGAGATTGCAACATGAAGAGTTGAACATGAGAAATTATCAACAGAAGGTGAATAAATGGACACAACTACCAGGCAGACCACACATGCGAAATTATTGCAATCGATGAACTAAGTTAAATAAACCAGATAGAATCGTCACGAACCTCCACATGTCCAGCGTGGAAAAGATCAAATGCGCCATCTATATAAATTATACGAGCATCAGGTCCTGGCCCCTAACATAAGCAAACAAAAAACTGAAATGTCTGGGAACCATTATCAATCACATATAAACTGGATGGGAGATGAAAGCAAGAAGAGTCCAGAATTATTAACAAAACAATCAGTACTGCATCCTGACATACGAGGCAGAATCCAAAGCTTGGATGGAATGCAAAAGGAAATCATAATGGAGAAGAAATTTGGTATAAGAGGTTATAAAGCCAATATTTATATCATTTTTGGATAAGATCAGAAATAGTTTTGTCCTTCCTATCCAATTACATATGCTCAAATGGTTTCTCTAGTTTTTTTTCTGTCCTTTTCTTTTGTTGGGTGTTCAGGGGGATTCAAATGGGTGCATAAGTAGTCATGACCAGAGTCTCTTGACTAAGTTCAGCCACAAAATTTTCATAGATATGGACGTGGTTAAAGATTATAATGTCCAACCATCCAGTTTATAAACTTATGATTATGTGTTTACTGGTTAAAGATAACACATCTTCATTCATGAACCCCTCTGTCTCTCTCTCTCTCTCCCACTCTCTCTCTTTAAATCTCTTTGAGATAAAATTGGCTTTGCAATTATCAACCATCAGTTGAGTGAAATTATTATTTATACGAATTTCTTAGATCCCCTTAGCAAGACAAGTTCCTATTTCAACAAGTCATCTCAGCAAATATGTGCTTGTATGGGTGTTATGTGGGGGAGGGGGATATACATGTGCATAAATTATTCCTGTTCACATCAACCGATAATAGACTAACCATAGAGAATTCTCCTTATGACAGGGACAAAACACATTCTAAGCAAACTGTAAAACATTGGGGTGCAAAAATTAATATCTACGGACATAAGTTGAGTTCTCCAAAATTGATATATGTACCTTGCTATTGGAGAATTGGACAATCCTACGAGATGTAGGGAGAAAATGGGATATCCTTGTTCCACTACCAGAGCCACCGTCTTCAGATTTGTGGCTGTGACCATGACTAAATTGTCGTTGCAGAGATGAGTGGTTATGGCTGTCCCCAGTTGACCTCTCTCTCAGACAAAGAAGCATACGGCCTAGTATACAAATACGCAAATGAATATTGAGTTTCAAGACAATGAGAGGGCAAAAAACAGGATTAAGTTATTTGCCTTAAAGGCTAATAATGTAATAACTGAGCCAAGAACCAACAGATGTACAAGTTCTATTTCTGAACACATGCACCAAGGTCCACTCTCCGGGATGCTAACGGAAGTTTTTTGTCAATGATAAGCGATGATATGTAAAAACTACCATTCAATACGTACTCACACAAATAATAACAACGACTTAGCCCTTTTTTTTTAATCCCATATAGTTAAATGGACAAAAGTTGAAAGTACAGACCAACGATGTCGGTGCTTGATACCCCTTCGGTGCGCTTTATCTGTTTATAACGGCCAACCTTCTTAGCAAGGGCATAAGCATCAGACCCGTCTGGAAGAACACATGGGTCATCCCCATGAATTATGTAGTCAATATTGTATTCATCAAATAGCTTTCTCATAAAATCTTCCGTGATAGCATATGGAGCATCAGGAATAACTTCATCCACCCATTTCACAGCACTAACCATGATCATCCTATGGCAGAAATAACAGCAAGGAAGTGAATTAATTAGTGGCTTGAAATATCTAAATTCAATCTTTGGTAAAAGACCTAGCTAAATTCATTAATAACCGCTGTGGAACAAATTGAAAGAGATTAATACCTGTTACCGCATTATCAATATGTAACGAAACAAGCAACTCAGCAAACCACTAAGGAAATATAAGGGACACGAGTGCCAAACTGAACTTAACTCAAAATATGAAAGGCGAAATTGGAATACCGTTGTTCAAAACTAACAGAAGAAAAAAAAAATGATTTCCATAATAAATAAAGCCGGAAAATAAATCAACATGTCTTCCATATCCACATCAAACCAGGAAACTTCTTTAAAGACTCCACCTATCATCAAACTGGACATGTATACTATGCATTTGAAATTCTCACTGGGAAAAAACACTTAATTAATTAGGCACGACACTTGCTTTAGCAACCTATTTGACGGATGATCATAAATTTCCAGGACCTAATGGTGGTATTTGTCTGTACTTGATGGAGTTCATGTTAGGGTCATAAATTGAATCGCAGAAATGTCTGAACCAAAAAAAAAAAAAAAAATGCAATCCCAATAATGTAAGGAAGCAGAGATTTAAATATAAGAATGGATGAATCGGTAGAAAATAGGACCTCTCTTTAAGAGGAGTAACTGGAGGGCCTTTGTTGACAGTAATTTCGGCATCGCTGACAACACCGACTACCAATTGGTCACCTAGGGCACGGGCCTGGCGAAGGGCATTGCAATGTCCGTAATGCATCATGTCGAAGCACCCATCCATGTATACCCTAATTGGCCTCTTCTTCTTCTTGTTGTGCTCCGGCAAAGCATAACGCAAACCTAGCAACGACATCCCTATGACCAGACCACCGATTAACCATGATGCCAGAATCCTCTGGACCTTCTCCCCTTCCCAACCCATTTATTTCAATTGCTCAATCCAATCAACATAAAATCTCCTCTAATAACAGCCTACAACTCACACACACTCACTAGTACATAACATTTGTCGGTCGATCAACAAACAACCTACAGCAAGCACCCTTATTTGCTACCTTCTTCCTCCTTTTTCGGCGACTCTTATTTCACATTTAAGCTATGCCCTGCGCCTGCGGCAAAAATAGAATAGCGATGATAGGTCTAACGGACGTTGGGATGAGATTGTTTTGGTAAAAGAAAACCGAGTTATTTGCAGAAAAGTCCTTGTGATAACTCAAAGCCCATTACTTTCTTTTTAAATAACACATTCGACCCATTTTGAGTTTACAGTTAGCCACTCAATAAAAAGACGGAAATAACCCAGGGGTTATTGCAATTAGAAAGGTATGTAGTTTTTTAACAATTATTTGATTTATGTCATTTTGACCCTAGGGGATTTTTAGCAATTAATAAAGTATATTTAACTTATAAATATTTTTGATTTTTCTTTAAAGTAACGAAACGTTATGTTAGTTTGATAATCAAGAAAGATGGGGAGGCAAACAAAGAAAAATGAAAGAAATTAGAGCAACATCACATAAAACGAGTATACATGTCTGCAAATTTGATACGCAACAAACACCACCAAATACAAAATAAACTATTTTCTTACAGGAACACTTAACACAAGCTTGCAATCACCATTACAATTATGGTACATATATATAGCTTATAGCTTCCAGGCATGATACATGAAACAGGTAAGTCTCATCTAACTCGGCATGGAGCAGGGGAACAATTTGGATTGGAAGATCGACAACCAACACCAGCAGTTCCGACTGCCCCAGCAAATCTGCGATGCATCCTGTAATCTGGAATCCTCCCTGATACAAATGGACTGCCACTACATAGAAGAGTAGGTGTTGAAGATGATGAGACTTCATGACTACCATTGCTTTGTAATGGTTCCAAAGTCTCAACCACATCACTCATTAAGGGTCTAGCTTTGGGATTTTGGCTTAGACAATAGTATGCCAAACTGCATGCTTTCTGAGCTGCCCTCACTGAGTACTGATTCTCTAATCTAGGGTCTATTATTTGAAGCATTTTTCTCTTATCGTTTAGCTTCGGTCTGGCCCAATCCACCAGACTTTGTTCTTTACTTGGTCTTGTCTTGTCAACTGACTTCCTTCCCGTCAATAGCTCCAGAAGAACTACTCCAAAGCTGTACACATCACTCCTTGCTGTGAGGTGCCCTATGTAACCATTCAAGAGACACACAGATCAGCTTGGATACGTTACAGCATATACATTCAACACTTTTTTCAATCCTTTTATTTTTTAGAGATTTTAAGCCATACCAGTCATCACATATTCAGGGGCAGCATAACCATAGGTACCCATAACTCGAGTTGATACATGGGTCTCGTCACCTTGGGGCCCTGCTTTTGCAAGCCCAAAATCAGAGAGCTTGGCCATATAATCCTGTAACAAATACATTTTCATATTAACTACAAGACACATAAAAAGATCCAAAATCATGATATAACTCTATCAACATCAATTCGTAAACCCACACCAGTCCCCCAACAAACAGGTCAAACAAAACACACACTCCGAGAAGCAAGGGTAGGCCCACCAGAGAGAGAGATAGAGTATTCAATAAATTATCTAATTGACATCCCTTACCGAGTCCAGTAGGATATTAGATGTTTTGAAGTCCCGATAGATAACAGGCCGTTCAGCATTGTGAAGGAAAGCAAGCCCTTTAGCTGCTCCAAGAGCAATCATCATCCTTGTCGACCAAGATAGTGGAGAAGTTGCTTCTGGATGCCTCAGAAAATTCCAGGTTAATTGTAGTCAGCCAGCAAATGATTAAAACGAGGAATAAAGTTTTATGTGTATAAGCTGCACAGTAGACACTGAATGTGCACACTCACAAGTATAGAACTCACCATCAAGAAATGGAGGGAAACATTATGCAAACATAATATCACTGGAAATTATTCAAATCGGTGAAGAAGATAATACTGTTTCAACAGAGAGGACGAGATAGCTAATTACAACTAAAACGACAAAATAGAAAAAAGCCAAATACAAAAGTCTCTAGCAAATATATAATGAGCTTCACCAAACTATCTCACTCAAACAATGAATTCAGTGACATTAATAATGATTTGGTTCAAAGTTCTAGCTTTAAATGTCAAGCATAATTTTTTTAATTCCTTAACGTTCATATATGATTGTTACGATTCAACTCTTCTCTAGTCTATAATCAAAATTCACTACTCAAAAGGCAGAACCTTGTTTGCATGACCTGATCCAGATTTTAAGAAATCAACCAGGTTTACCACCATTTTTATTAGTTACGCCACGCGGGTCACAATTTGAAACAACCACCATCAGATTATTGAACTATACAAAACTATCACAGAGACGCCCACTCTTACAGTTGGCCAAAAACTCTCCACATAGACACTTGTGGGAACTGGAAGTCTAAACTTATCAAGAATCTGATATTTATATCAGATAAGACAGGAGATTCATTCCGTAAGAAGGTCAAATTTACATGCGGAGGTGTCGATATTGTTTCACACTTTCACTGCATCTTAGCCAACATAACAAGTAAAATTTCAATCACAATCATACAATGAGAGGAATCTAGTAGCAGCAACAACAATAAATCATTCTTTGGAGAGCAACAGAACATACTTCGAAACAGATGATTCTCAAGGCTTCCTCTGAACATGAATTCATAAACAAGTAACCTGTGATCATCCTCACAGCAATATCCAATCAACTTCACTAAATTAGGATGCCTGAGCTGCCCGAGGAAGTTGACCTCAGTCTGAAATAGTGAACTTACGTATTCAGCAAAATATTATCATTTTCATAACGCAAGCTACTTGTTAAGTACCTTGAGAGAAACAGGGAGCCATTTAAAAACAAGGAGCACATAAAAGACGCAGAAAACTCACCAGCCATTCACGATGGCCTTGAAGGCCTTCCTTGTTAAGCACTTTAACAGCAACAGGGAGAGATTTGAGTCCAACTCTGACATTCTCATCAATGTAACCTTTGTAGACCGTTCCAAAACCACCTTCTCCAAGAATGTAGTCAGAACGGAAGCTCTTAGTGATGGTCTCAAGCTCAAAGAGGGTGAAGGCAATGACGTGGGTGTAGAGCAGTGCGTTTTTGCGAAAGTCCTCAAAGTTGCGGGGTGTTGAAGGATCGCTCAGATCTGACGTGGAACGACTGTGCTTCTTATCTATAGCTGGATTCCTAGTGGGTAGCGGCAACACTTGGAGCTGCTGCTGAACTGCTCATTGTTTTTATTGTTAATACTTTTTTTTTTTCTTTTTCCAAGAATTATATTGTAGTATCTAAATTATGTGGTGACGTAAAGACCTAAGCTAATTTATGAACAAGCATTGGAGATTATTTATTCAAAGAATAAATAAAAAAACCTAAATATGATCTCCGCCATACCGGCGAAGGGTGTGTGCAGCAATTACCGAATGTTTAATTAAGGGCAACTATATTTCCTCTTTGTGAATGAATTGACGAAAAACCAGATCTGGTGGGCGGAGAAGAGAAAATGCAAGGGAAAAGAAAACCCGAACCTTGATGATGTTGATGAGCAGTAGAGACGACGGCTGACTCCTCCCTAGTACCGCAATTGCCCATCTTCTTCTTGTCTATTAGGCAGAAGAGCTTCACCGGAATTTCGTCTCATTCTTCGCCGCCAGACAACCCCTCGTTCCCCTTTCCTTTTCTCCTTCTCCCTCTCACACACAATTCTAATCACTCATCTGCGTACGACTTTTTTTTTTTTTTTTCTTATTATCAATTAAGTTTCAATCTGAAAATATTATTATAAAGGGGAAAAAATTAGCTTCTGGTCTGTGCACAACTCACACGTATATACCTACTACTATATCGATATCTATATGGCTGTAGTGTCTGTAAATCAATATATTATCTTAAATATTACTAATCACAATTTCACTCAGGTGTTTAAACTTTAAAACGGTTCAGGTTAAGAAAAGTTTGATTTGAGGATTTAAGATGGAAATAAAGAATGGTTGGTGATGGGCAAATTAATTCCTTTTAGGGCCAACTTTGAAAAGCCTTTTGTTTATTTCAATTTGCTTACTCACTTAAACGTCATATTAATTTTGAAGCCCAAACCTTGATCAATGAATGAAGGGCTGAAACTTGGCCTACCTCTCTAGATTTAGAGGCTCTTTTTGAAAATTACGGTAAAGCCCTTGTTGGATGATAAATTAAGGCAAATTACAACCGCCCCTGAAGTAAGTATTTTTACAAAACTTGCAAACTGCAGGAGGCTAGATGTATTTTCCAAATAATAAGGGAACTTTACCTCGGGGAGCTGGTGGTAATTTACCCAATAAAACTGTTAACCTTAGAGATAGAAACCATAATGATCAAATTTTGCTTTCATGTATGTGTTCCATTAAGATTCAACACTTTTTCTTCACCTTTAAATCCAAACTGCCAATAAGAATATTATTTGGCAAGTCCCTGAAGCAGATTTATTCTGGTTATTATTCACTTCTTTTATCGAGTGGCTACAATAATCTTCCAACAACGTCACCAACGAGATACATTAACAATAATATTTAATATCGAGATGAATCAAAAGTTACCATTAAAGCAGAAGACATTGTAGAAGAGAAAAAAAAAGAAGCATAAAAATGTGTATGAAAGGAGTCAGAATTGAAGCTTCCTGCATACATGAGAAAGATTGTGAATGTTTGTGGAGTTGGTGGTGGTGGACTTAGTTGGAGCTGCAGGGCATGTATGAGCAATCCCAGTAAGGCATGGTGCAGATGTAGGCGTGTTGGGGGTGTCGTCTAGATTTGTCACAACTAGTTCAGATAAAATAGAATCGAGTATAAATCCATAAACAATCTCAAATAAATAATCTTCATCATCGCCCAACTCTAGTAATCCATAATCTCCAATAATCACATTTGTAGAAAAGTCGAGGCGTCGCATCACATGGATCCTTGACTCTTCCTCCAAATATTTACTAATCATAGACGACTTGTTATTAGGAGGACCTTTTTTAGCTGCAAATGAATCATCTGATGAAGAGGTAGAGGTAGAGGTAGAGATTTCATTCACATTCTCTCTGTTTGTTTCATTCCCACAACATTCTGCTAACACATTCTTCTTTCCTGAATTACATGCCTCACCAGCCCCCATCTCAATATTTACCTTTTTGCCTCACCTGCACAATGCACCCACCAAGAATTAATTTATACAAATTTCCAATTTAAAGAAGAAACAAAAATAAATAACAGGAAACATTTATTTCTGTCCAAGTATCCTAATCCCCAAACCCTAATTTTATTGAGTCTGCAAGCTCAGCCACCAAAGACCCATGAACATAAAATATTTAATTAACTGATGAAGACGCAATCAGATGGGAAACAGTTAAAGTTGAAAATTGCAATTAATTACAAAGGAAAATAAAGGAGGATCGATCGGAAGAAGTAAGGATTAGGTTGAAGAAGATGACATACATACATACCTTTAATTAAGAGATTGTGGAATAATGGAGATTTGAAGCAGTATAACTATTTTGGGAATGAGGAAGATCTGAGACTGAGGGTAATTTGGTTTTCCACGATCTACTTTATTACAGTTTTCGACCTCCCTGTGTCTTTCTTCCACTAGTAGCTCTAATCGCTCAGGCTCAGCAACTTGGTATGGGTGGGTCCCTACCTATTTTTTATTTTTTTTATATATAATCATATTTTATTATTTATATATATTATAATAATTACCTAAATAGAGAAAAGTTGGTTAATTAAAACGTCCGTGAGCTCACAGCCGGACATTCATTTTCTACACTTCTTCTCTGTTTCATATCACCCTTCCGAAATCTGTGGAGGTGTTCTCCGGTGGTAGTGGGCGGCGTCCCCCGGCAGTGCTCTTGTTAATATAATTCGACATCCCAAATAATCACACTATTATTGAAATATAATCCATAATTAATTAAATATTAGCTAGGATGGCTTACAGGAGGAGGCAAGGGATGGGCAGATCATCCACCTTTAAGGAGGAAATATACCCGCCACTGGAAGAGGGGGGCACTGCGGCATCATCATCTCTCGCGGCACAGGCTATAATGGCATCCGCCGCCCATCGTGACTCCTCCCATTCCGACCACTCTATTAATAATAATAAGGTTAGGTTATATACATTTTCCTATCATATTTCCTTTTCAGATCATGATATATATATATACACATGCGCGCGCGTGCATTTCATTGTTTTCCTATACATTGAAAAGATGAAGTCATTTATTATTAGATATATCTCAGCAGCTGAGAATTAATCTGATCATTAATGCATGTGTTTGCTTCTGATCTGATCTGGTACGTGCTCATGATCTATTTACTAGAGTACTCCCCTTGTATATATGCTGTTGATAGAAATGGGATTTCTTGAAAAACAATTGCATCTTTGATTTCGAGAGAAATATTAATTAGTTGTTCGCACATTCCATGCACCATATATCCTTAGCTTGATGATGATGGTGATGATGCGTGAATTGCATCATTTAATTTTTGCTTATAATATTGATGGCATGCATTAAAAATTAGGGAGGTCCTACCTATGACTACACATCGATGGGAAGTTCAAATGAAGCAGGCAACTTTTGGGGAGTTCTCGCCAGAAAAGCTAAAGCCATTCTCGAGGATGATAACATTCCTTATCAGTCCGAATATGTTAGCCAAACAAGACCAGAAATGCTCTATTCCTCCAGGATTGACCAGGTGATCAAACAAATAACAATAATAATTTTTCTTTTGAGTAGTGACTGCCTGAGTGCCCTCCTTCTGTTGTTCCCAGTTCCCACCATATATAATATATATATATATTATGATCTTACTAATTGCAATGATATGCCTTTTGGTTGTTGTTGTTGTTTTTTTCCTGGAAGGTCGAAATATCCAAAAAGACGGAGAATCCCACTCTGCGTAAGGGGCTGGACGCACTAACATCTTCCATGAACCGCATTGGAAATGCTTTGGAGGTAAGTCACACTTACACCAGAATATCAGTAATATATATAATATTTTTCTCATTTTCCATCATTAAGTTGTGTATACTTGTCTAAGTGATCAATCTTCACTTGTGTATTAGGTAATTAGAAAAGTTGAAATGGCATTGAGAAAACTAGCTAGCTAACACGAATTAATAAAAGTTTGTCATGGACTAATTAATGCCATTTAATTTGTTTGTATGATCGGTCGTCAAATTAATAATTCCAGGAAGGGCGCACAATTGTTGAAAATAAGACAGCTGATTTTATACAAGAAACAAGGAAAATGCAGATAAGGAGAAAAGGGGTGAATGAGGGAATGCCATCTGGTCCATTAATGCAGCAGTCACAGAATCATACCAGTCAAGAAGATCAGCTCAAAGCATCTCGCGACGTAAGGTGGCCAAGTACTGTGTAAAATTGTCATCATCTCATTGTGATTCATGCATGCATCAGAATCAGAAAACATCTCTAATTAATTACTTGATCTGCCGACAGCTCCTACTGTAACTGTCTTGAAACGTACGTATTTTCATTATTATTGTTGGATTTCAGGTGGCTATGGCAACTGCTGCAAAAGCAAAACTACTTCTTCGAGAGCTGAAAACAGTTAAAGCAGATCTAGCTTTTGCAAAAGAGCGGTGTTCTCAGTTAGAAGAAGAGAATAAAATACTCAGAGAGGCTCGTGAAAAGGGAGTGAATCCTGCAGATGATGACATGGTATAACTTTTTTTTTTTTTTTTTTTTTTTTAATAATAAAAAACAAAAACTTTTTTTTTTTAATTGATGAAATGAGATGATGTAAAATAGATACGGCTTCAACTGGAGACACTACTGGCGGAGAAGGCACGTTTGGCACATGAAAACTCGGTATATGCACGTGAGAACAGGTTTTTAAGGGAGATAGTAGAATATCACCAACTGACAATGCAGGATGTAGTATACTTGGACGAAGGGATTGAAGAGGTTACAGAGGTTTATCCAATATCAATGTCAAGGACACACTCAGTTTCACCACGTTCATCTATCTCTATCTCAATGTCAATCTCTTCTCCACCATCTCCCTCTGATCTTCATCACATTTCTTTGTCCAGAACCTCTTCTCGTGAAGTACTGCTTCGAGGAGACATTTCTAACAAGGATGATTCTCGATCCAATACCACTCCACTCGATTAATTCATTATTATTATTATTGTGATCCATTCATCATTTTTCTTGTTTCCCTTTTTCTTTTAATTACAACAAAATTATATTTTTATTATTTCCTAACTAGAGCTAGTTCAGACTCTGTCTCATTTGTTAAACTCTGTAAATTTCATATTAAACTAGATTCTGAAAGCTTTGCAACTAGTTCTTCTTGAGTTTGGGTTACTACTTACTACTATACATGTGATGGGATCTCATATTGCACGTTCAAAAGCTTGTGCATATATGTCTGCATGTAATGGCTCTTTTATCAAAACAAATAGATCGAAAAATCCGAAATAACTTTTGGCGGCTTAACACAAGAAAAATCAGATTATTCAAATACAATGTCAACCAGAATATGAAAAGGCAGATATATCTAATTCACGGGCAAGTCCCACATGATCATCACCAAAATACAACTTAATCATCCTTGTTTTCTTGTGCAGGCCACAAAAATATAGAAAGAAAAAAAAAAAAAAAGGACTAGTAGATAAGAGTTCATAAATAAGTCCACTGATTGGGTCTTGCACATTATTTCCTTGTACAAGCCATTCAAATTCAATTACCTGCATCACCACACAAAGGAACCAAGTCAGTGATACTTTTGTTTTTTTATATATAAACAGAGAACTCTGAATAATAACGAAATTAGAAACAAGCTTTCTTTACAGAAGAAATCAGAAAAGCTGAAACTGAAAGGAAGAACCAAGAACAATTTAGAAGTTGAGCAAGAATCATGTAATTATATCTCATGAAGCCTAAGCTTAAAAGGTCCAAGTGCTGACAGACAATAACAGTGTAAAATTTACAAGTCTCAACTAACATAAAGTAGGAAATACCTACTTTAATTTCCATTTCCTTGGAAGAAGAAACTAAAATCACATAGCCTCACAAATATAAGTAGCAATTCTAGGAATGATTTTGGAAAAATGTTTTAGTCAGTCATATTTCTTAACTTGAACCTGGATTTATTATTCACTATTCAGAAACAGAAAAGGATATCTACTACCCCTCTCCCACAACAACTTATCACTTGCATTTACATTTTTATGCGTAGGTAAATAAATATTAACATACTAAAGTGATATCAGGTTCAGTAACAACAACCAGTGCCATTAAACCAAATTCAGGGAGTGGAGAGTGGAACACAATACTGTGTCTTATAAAGTTTTTTTATGTCGGTAATGTACTTGTTCTAGATTACGAAAAACCAAATTCATATAAAACAGCATAGTTGTGTTTACAATGTCATGGAGACTTGCAGTTGCTTAGTAATAATTTGAAGAAAACATTTTTGTTTTTTTAGTACGACTAGACTACTGAAAAAATTGTTAGGTCAATGAAACAAGAACACTTTGGAAAGCCAATTGATTCTGAGGAAAGACATGTATGTATTATGTATATGTCCGTTGGACAAAATCAAGTGGCATCATATGTAATAGTTATCAGTATCATATTATATAGAAAAAAAAAATGTAAAGCATTATCCAGAAGAAGAAGAAGAATCAGATAAAATGGAAAGGCAAAAGGGAAGGACCGAAACTAGTTGGAAGGTGAAGGAGAAGAGAGCATCTCCATGATTTTCTTGTCACGTCTCTCCATAGCCACGTCCCAGACGTCGTTGCCAATGTGCTTTGGCTGCAAACGCAATTCAAATTGTCAGCATAAACAAAACAGATCAATCGTCAATCGTCATCGATATGTATGTATAATCGAGGATGATAGATAGATAGATTGATTGATTGATTGATTGATTCACACAAACACGCATACAGAAAATAGAAAAGGAGAAATTTGGGTACTAACGCGGCCATGAGCTGCTTTGTGAATGAAATATTGGGCGTTTCCCATAACGCAGAGCATCCCTGCTATTATGCCCAGCGGCAACATTGCTTCCAACCATATGAGCGCCATGATTGCTCTGCCTCTGCCTCTGCCTCTTTCTCTCTCGATCTCGATTCGATTATTTTTAATTGATTGGAAATCCACTGAATTCTTTGTGGTCGCTTGCTTCTTCCTTGTTAGATCGATCCCCCAACTCCAATTTTTGGTGTAAATTCCATCCCTACCCCTCCCTCCCCCAAATATATTGGGCCTGGGCTGGACTCAACTCGATCCAATATATACATACATATTACCGAGCCCTCGTAGACAATTATAATTTAAGTAGTAAAATAAACTTAAGACAATCTATATATAATATAAAAAGAGAATCTATGCCCTCAATGATTGACATGTGGCAAATGATGATGTCATTTGTCAAAATTGCTTAGTTGGAGTTCAATTTATGAGGTGGATTCTTCAATTGATCATGTGTCATTTTTATTTAGGTATGTTTTTAAGTTCTTTCCTATTTCACATTTACACAATCATTTAATAATTACCACATATTTATATATAATATTTCAGGAATTTAATTTCCTATCATTTCTAAAAATATTATATTTTTTATAGTTTTAATTTTCTGAACTATATTTTTCGTCTGTTCTTTTTTTTTTTTAAATTCAGAACACTCAATTTTTTAACGAGTATTCGATTTTTTATATCATATTTTACACACTATTTTTTTATAGCGAAATAATTATTATTATATTTAATTATCTATACACGGTTGATTAATTGTTTTTATCTCACGTTTTTAATTTAATTTTCCGAAATATATTTTTCGAATGTCTTTTTTTTTTTTAAATAGAACACTCATTTTTTATGATATATATTTTGGAATTTAGTTTTTTTAAAAATAATATTCGAAAATAATAATAATAATAATACTAATAATTATTATTTTTACAAATCATTAATAATTATTAATCACTATACATGGATTTTTTTTGTTTAAATATTTTGCCAACTTAATGTATATGTATTAATTTAATTTTATAAATATTAATAACTAAACAACATTTAAAATTTGAAATTAAAATTTTTGTATTCCAAATTTTGAATTTCAAATATTTTTTTACTATAAATGATCAATCATTCCCCAATTTTATGTCATATAATTTGATTTCTTACCTATTTAAGTTGATTGATTTTGATTCATATGGTTAATTCATGGAAAATATCTAATCAAATAATTGGTAAGATTATAACATTAAATGTGTATTTCCATAAGAACTTACTATTTATTTTTTTATTATATAAAATTCAAGTATAAATACCCCTCATTCCAATCCATTTCACTCACTCATACTCTCCACTCGAATTTTACACTCGCATAAAAATAAAAAAAAATAGGTCAGCCCGAAATGGCTGCAAAGAGGAAATATTGTATTTTTTTGTTGTTAATATATTCATAGTTTTACATGTTCTTTATTTCATTATTTTGATATAATGTATGTGTCTAATGGTTATTTACACATATACATGTATTTAGTCTAACATGTTATTTGTTGTTCGTTTATGTTATTTTTGTAGATATTATGGATAATATCGACATATGGGCTATGTGTGACGACATTGGTTGCGTCAAAGGAATAGAAAGAATTTCGTGAATCTCATATGAATTGTGCGAGAAAAAATACTCATTTTTTTCAATCCTTAAAAGACCGTCATCGAAGTGATAAATGTAAAACATTATATGCAATTATCAATTTTCTATTCTTTATATATGTTTGTAATTATTTTTAATATTGTTTCATCAAGCTCATTTAGTATATGGTTATATATGCAATTTCGCTATTTAAAATTTTATATATTTCATTTTTTAATTCGTGTAAAGTTGGATCATCTGTCGTTTTTGTTTTTGGAAACTTATTGTTTTCGTCTTTTTTTCTTGATTTGTTTCACTTAACTACATTGAAATGTTGAGTGCTAATATATTATCACTAATTCATTATATAGTAATTATATTGTTTTATAATTTTACATTAATTTAGTTTATTAATGCATTATTATATTAATGGAATGGTAATATGTCAATTAATGGAATAAAATATTGTATCGAGTTGTCCTTTTTATATACTCAATCTTAGGAAATTATAATATATTAATTGAATAGTAATATGTCAATTAATGGAATGAAATATATTTAAATTGTCATAAATAATTTAATAAATGGTATATATAAGTAACATATTTCAATATTATTCCATTAAATATTTAATGAAGTAATAAAACACATTATTAACTAGATTTTTATTTTTATTACATTTATTACGAATTAATTATTTTAATAATTTTTAATTTTATAAATTACTTTATTTATTTAATTTTCCTAGCATTTTTCATTATGATTTTTTTTTTGTATTTTCGATAATGTTGTAACATAAGTATTTGTAATGATTATTTTGCATATCAACTTATACTTTAGAGAAGAAAAAAAATAATGTCTTACATTAGCATTAAATAATAATTTGATTTCATTTGTTTGATATTCTTATTAAAAGTATTGATTTTAAGGATAAGATTAATGACTTGATTTCATTTGTTTGATATTCTTATTTAAAGTATGAATTTTAAGGATATGATTGATCACTGATTTTATTTGTTTATTTATTTTTTGTTATGTTTGTCTTTGTTATATACAAATTGATATTATTTTGGTTTCTATTTATTACTGTATCAAATCAATGTGTGTATTATGCTAAATAAATTATGAGCATAATATTTTATACCTAATAAACACGTAAAAGTGGTAATATTTTAAAAGCCATGTTATATTTAAATTGGTTACTTTTGTTATGTTTCCTTGGTTATGTTATTTCTGATTCTGATTAATTCATTACTATTTAATGTTATTATCAAATCAATACATGTGATTTGAATAATTTTTTTAGTAACCCTAACAATCGCATTTATTTATTATGCATCTCAATAATTTCGGATTCTTATTAATTCTAATTGTTTGAATTTGTTTGATTTGTTCTAACCGAGTAACACAAAAAATAATAAAATATATTGTTTGCTTAAAGTTATTTTATTAACTTATTTAGTATGTGAAAATGAAGTATAAAGACCATCAACACAAACTGATCATTTATTTCATTCTTTCTCAACACGTTTTGTTATGATCATGCTAAACCAAGGTCCTTACCTTAAAACTTTTTTTTCTTCATATTTATGTTTTGTAATTTCATAATGCGATCAGTATTGTGCGATGTGCATGCTCGCTTTGAAGCATTTTATTTATCGCCAAGTGTTTATTACGTTATACGTTTATTATGTATGCGTATGTATAATAATCTAACAAATCATTGTTTTGCTTTCCTTTTAATTTTCAGATCCATGGATAACATCGTGTGTGCTATATGCGGCGACGTCCACAAGGGAGAAGCATTGTGGCGTTGCGTAGAATACAAATATATGATTTAGATATATTATATGGATGGGTTTTAAAAACTTTTACTTCTGGTTTTCCATCTTTGATTATACATTCAATAATTGTAAGTTTAGTTTCGATGAAGAAGTTGAGTTTAATGAAGGTGATAATGTAATAAAAAAATATTAAAGTAACTCATGTATGTATTTCGTTATTTGTAATAGAGATTCTTATATAATTTGTTGAATATATTTAAATAAATCTTCTTTAGTTTTTATATTTTTATGTTACAATATTAATTTGTACGTATCGTAATAATTCTTTTATTTTTATCATTTTTTAATATTTATGTAAAATATTATTAGTTTGTGCGTTCATAATTTTTTTTTTGCTGTTAATCTTTTGAATCTTTATGTACATACATGACATTAGATTCACCCTTCTTCATTCACTATAATTCCAATATTATGATATATTAGAAACATTGTGCCTAGATGTATTTGTGACAATATTTGATTTTGTATGTTTTGAAATAGGAATAATTATTTATGCAAGCATATTAGGATTTAGAAGTAATGTTTTTGCAGAAAAACCTATACTAACTAGAGAAATATATAAATTATATAGCATTCTACATTGATCAGGGAAGGAAAAAAACACATTAAAAATAATGTGTGAAATATATAGTAAAATATACATATGTGAAAATCGATGTTGTCAATCCAACGAGGACATTATGTGTGTGTATTCTTTGGATCATTAAAACATTTTAGAGAAATTATCTCTTTCCCTAAAACAAAATGGTTTGATATTCCAATGAAAAGAAATCGATGTACAATATTACGAGATTGATTTTTATGAAGTAGGTCTCGATTACGGATTTGTTGAGATTGCAAACTGAAATTTGAGGAAGATCTCTATGAGTATGAGTATTAATATTAGTATTAGTAGTAGTATTAGTATTAATATTAGTATTAGTATTAATATTAGTATTAGTATTAATATTATTATTAGTTTTTAGTATTAGTATTAGTATTAGTATTAGTATTAGTATTAGTATTAGTATTAGTATTAGTATTAGTATTAGTATTAGATGAGTATCAATATCAGTATCAGTATTAGTATTAGTATTAATATCAATATCAATATCAATATTAGTATCAGTATATACCAATATCAATATTAGTATGAGTATGAGTATCCATATCAGTATCAATATATGTATCAATATCTATAAGTATGAGTATGAGTATGAGTATGAGTATGAGTATGAGTATGAGTACGAGTATAAGTATGGGTATAAATATCAGTATCAGTATTCGTATCAGTATTAATATCAGTATAAGTATCAGTATAATATCAGTAGCAGTATCATCAATAGTATCAATATCAATATCAATATCAGTATTAGTATTAATATCAAATTAATATTAGTATCAGTATCAATACCAATATCAGTATTATTATCATTATTAGTATTCTTATTAATTCAAATTCATATTAGTCTTGGCCTATTAGCATTAACATTAGCATTAGCATTAGTATTAGTATTAGTTTTCTTATTAGTATTGGCGTATTAGTTTAAACATTAAATATTCATATTAGAAGTGGCGTATTATTATTAATATTAGTGTTGATATTAATATTAGTATTAGACTATTAGTATTAATCATCGTATTAATATTAAAATTAGTATTAATATTAGTATTATTAGTGTTGATTTTAGTATTAATATTAGTATTGGTATTAGTATTATCAATGTTGGTTTTAGTATTAGTAGTAGTAGTTGTTAGTGGAATATTAGTGTTAATATTAGGATGGATAGGCAATTGTACGCCGCAATGTCCAGAGATAAAAGTAGATTTGAGATAAAAAATAATTATCAACTCAAAATCGGGCGATATAACTAAAATTACGAGCAATGTTGTGTGACAAAAGATTTTCAGCGAATATGAAGGTAAATCACAAACAAATGAATATTTTGTATTATTTACATGTATGTCAACTGTTCAAAGTTTTCGTTCGTTTTATTTTATCCAAAATATTTTTTTTGAAAAAATTGATCTCGTGCATCGCACGGGTGAATTACTAGTTATAACTAAGATTTGAATTAGGATTATGATTGGTATTAGTATTAGTATTCAAAATATTAGTATTAGTGTTGTAAATTATTAGTATTACAATTAGACTTAGCATTAGTTTTCACGTATTAGAATTATCATGTTAGTATCAATA